GTAGACAAGTCTGAATTATCGTTGCGGGTTTTCATAACCCTGTCTCAATCATTGATAGAACAAGTAGTCACGGAACCAGTAAGGATATTGAAGATTTGTTCAAATTTGTCAGCCAAGCGGACCTAATTCACGTTTCTAGAAGACCCTGCCCGACCACGGCAGAGTAGTTCTCAATGCAGAGGTGTTTGGGCCCACACCAAGTTTTAGCACATTTGAAAGGATCAAGTCTTACGGCCTGTGTTTCCCGCACATAGTTGGAAATCCGTACTAGAAAGATTTCTGGAAAATGCTTTAGATATGGACACCAGGGCTCCAGGGGACAATGAGAAGGTGTTTTGAGGTAAAATATTGTGAAAACACACCCAGATTTGGACGCCTGTGTAGCACTGAACACTGAGAAACCAGGGATGGGCGTGTGGGACAGCGGGTGAAGTCATCACCTGAGACGCCCACATCCCACACTGGGGTCCTTGGGCTGGAATCCCTGCTCCGCTTCCACTCCAGCTTCCTGCTGGTGCACGCCCTGAGAGGCAGCAGGGGGTGGCCCAAGTGCTTGGCTCCCTGCCACCCTCATGGGAGACCCAGGGTGAGTTCCTGGCTCCTGGTTTCAGCTTGGCCCAGCTCTCCTGGCTGTTATGGGCATATGAGCTTGCAGACTAGTAGATGGAAGCTCTCTATTTCTCTCTCTCTCCATTAGAATTTTTTTTTGTAAAGAAAAAGACCAAATTATACCCAAAATAAGCTGAGGAAAGAAAGGAATAATACACACGCATGGAAGCCAGCAGGAACCCAGGTTGGCAAGCCACAGCCTCTGGACTGGCCACCTGCCTTCTACATAAGGTATTATGCCAACAGCCCTGCCCTCCCACTGACATCTGAGTACTGCCCGTGGCTGTTTTTATGCTGTAACTGCAGACCAGACAACGTTGTCGTGACAGGGCACGCTCTTGGTGCAGTGGCTTTTGTTGCCCTGTAGGATGTCTGCATCCCATAGCAGAGTGCCTGGTTCAAGTCCTGGCTTCGCTGCTTCTGATCCAGCCTTCTGCTCACTTGCATCCTGGAAGGGACAGATGATGGATCAAGCACTTGAGCACCTGCCGTCCACATGGGAGGCCCAGATGGCAACCAGGCTGTAGGCTGCCCCAGCCTTGGCTGATGCAGTGTTTAGGGAGTGAATCAGCAGATGGAAGATATTCATTCATTCATTCTCCCTCCCTCCCTCCCTCCCTCTCTCCCTCCCTCTCTCCCTCTCTCTGTCTCTCTCTCTCTGTCTCTCTCTCTGTCTCTCTCTGTGTGTATCTCTGTCTTTCAAATCCAATGAAAATAAGTAAATAAATATTTTGAAATATCTTTTTAAAAAAATCAAAGTAGTTGTGACAGAGACCATATAGCCCAAACTCCTAAAATATTTACCATCTAATCCTTTAAAAAAATGTTTGCTAGGGGCCAATGTTGTGGCACAGTGGATTAGGCCTGTGACACTGGCATCCCATGTTGGAGCACAGGTTTGAGCCCTGGGTGCTCCACTTCTGATCCAGCTCCTTGCTAAGGCACCTGGGAGAGCCGTAGAAGATGGCCCAAGTGCTTGGGCCTTGCACCCATGTGGGAGACATAGACTGAGTTCCTACCTCCTGGCTTCCATGTGGCTCAGCCTCAGCAGTTATGGGCATTTGTGGAGTGAACCAGCAGATGGAAGATCTCTTTCTCTCTCTCTCTCTCTCTGCCTTTTAAATACAACAAAAATTAAAATAACCCTCAGCAAACTAGGACTAGAAGGGAATTTCTTCCACCTGACCATGGGCATCTACCAAAACCCCCACAGCAGATAGACCCAGTAAAGAACGGATGCTTTGGCCCTAGCATCAGGAGTGAGACAAGGATGTTCGCACTCGCCACTTCCGTTCGGCATCGCAGTGGAGGCCCTGGTCAGTGCAGTGAGATGGAGAAAAGGCGTGCAAGGTGCTCAGGTTGAAAAGGAAGAAGCCACGCTGTCTCTCTTTGCAGCTAGCAGGTGCGCCAGCAAGCCCATGGCGAGAGAGAAAGTACTTAACAAAGGGTGTGGGAGGGCCGGCGCCGCGGCTCACTAGGCTAATCCTCTGCCTAGCGGCGCCGGCACACCAGGTTCTAGTCCTGGTCGGGGCGCCGGATTCTGTCCCGGTTGCCCCTCTTCCAGGCCAGCCCTCTGCTGTGGCCAGGGAGCGCAGTGGAGGATGGCCCAGGTGCTTGGGCCCTGCACCCCATGGGAGACCAGGAAAAGCACCTGGCTCCTGGCTCCTGCCATCGGATCAGCGCGGTGTGCTGGCCACAGCGCGCCGGCCGCGGCGGCCATTGGAGGGTGAACCAACGGCAAAAGGAAGACCTTTCTCTCTGTCTCTCTCTCTCACTATCCACTCTGCCTGTCAAAAAAAAAAAAAAAAAAAAAAAAAAAAAAGTGTGGAGCAGCCACGGGCACAAGAATTAACTTCAGTTCAGCCCTTGTCAACATAGACTCCTGAACTCGTGGGCCCACGTGTAAATCCTAAAACCACGAAGCTTCTGAAATAAAGCCTAGGAGAAAGCGTTTACCAGCTGGGGTTTAGCTCAGGTTTCCTTGGCACAACACCGGAAGCATGCTTCAACCAAGGGAATGACACATCGGAGTCTGGAAAATTAAATTCTCCGCAAGATGCACTGTTTGTAGAGTGAAGAACAGAAGGCACAGCTGGAGAGAAACATTGACGGAGCAGGTAACTGAGAAGGAACTCAAATGCAGAAACCCTCAATAATGGAAAACGGGACACAGTGCAAACCTCGAGCAAATCCCGGGAAGATACCCAGAGGGCAGTTAAGTGCAGGAAGAGATGCCCCATGTCGTGAGTGACCTGGAAAGTGCAAATGTATGCGGCACGTTCTACCCCGACAGTCCCGCGAGAACGGCTGGAGGTTTAAAAGTCTTTCCAACCTCGGGCTTCAAGCATGGGTGAGGATGTGGGGGACCCAGAACCCCAGCCACTCTGGGAAACGATCTGTGGTCCCTCCTGAAAGGTTATGCCTGCACGAAAATACACACGAGTAGCAGGGCTACGTACAGAAGTCTGTGCGAAGTTAAACGCATGGGCCCGGAGCACCATGGGACAGGGCCCTGGGCATGGGGGCGTCTCTGTGCGTCTGAGCAGGGTGGCTCGAGCTTACATGACTTACCTGGTGGAAAAGGAATTTCATGCCGAGGAATGCAGATGAGGAAGCTTAGGGGGGACAAGGGAGCAGGTGCTGCCCGGCTCTCCTCCAAGCCGTCCGCGGTGCTTTCCCAGAAATGCGTCTGTACAAAAGCCGGCCCGGGGCGGGCGGGGGGGGGCTTCAGCCCGCAAGGCCCAGGTGCTGTGCAGGGTCACTGTCCCCACGGCTGAGCTGCTCCTTGGGGGGTAGCAGCCGTGTCCCCTCCTCCCCATAAATGACCACCGCAGCCACTGGAGCGGCTGGGGGCTGCCCAGGGCCGTGCGAGCCAAGTGGTCAGGGCTTGTCTGTATCCCGGGGGCCTGGGAGGTCCACACGCCCACCCCACCCCTAGGCTTTGGGCCCGGGGTCTGCAGCCCACTGTCCCCGCTGCCCAGAGTCCCGGCCTTGCCCTTGGCGCTGCAGGACGTCACACCCCTCCCCGTGCTCCAACCCTCGGGGCAGCCTCCTGTCTCCCCAGTGGTGTGGCCCTGGCCCACCGGGCTGTCTCACTTCTAGGGGAGGGGGCAGGGGCCCCTAGTGTGTGTGTGTGTGGGAGGGTAGAGCATCCTGTTCTACCACGCCTTACCTGTGGTCTCCTTGCCTACTCTGGGCCTCCGCTTCCCGGTCTGGTGGCCGAGTGCTGGTGAACGTGAGAGGCCCTCGCAGAAGAGCACGGGGTGTGTGCCTGGCTCCCGGCCAACACCAGCCCCTCCTGTCTGCTGTCTCTGCCCCCGGGCTCAGGAGCCAACACGGAGTAGCCGGGGTCCTGCTGCCGTCCCTCACTGCCAGCCCACACCCCCTTGGGAACTGGGGTCTCCGCGGGCGCCGGCGGCAGGTGGTCCTGGTTGGGTGTGGGCGGTGGGGCTTCAGTTACGTGTTGTGGGGTATGGGTGCCTCAGGACGGGTCTTGTGCTTCTGCATCCCTGACGTTCTGTGTAAACAGCTTCGTTGGCATCCCAGAGATGACTTCCGTGCACCTGGGCTGCCGCAGGGGCCGAGTGCAGTTCAGCTGGGGGGGGCGGAGGTGGGGGTGGGGGGCTCTGAGCCTTTCCATCCTTCCGCCTGTAGCTGCTGCTCCAGGGCCGGCTGTGGGTGGGGACCTGGAGCCCTGAGCCCTGGCCTGGCCTGGTTGGATATATCCAGCGGCCGTGATGTTAATGCACACACGGAGAATCTGGTGTCAGGCAGGGCAGAGCAGGCCCTGATGCGACACAGCCTGCCCACATCCCACATGTGGGAGCGCCTGGGTTCAGCTCCCGGCTCCACTCCTGACCCCAGCTTCCTGCTCAGGCGCACCCTGGGAGGCAGCAGGTGCCAGTGCAAGGAGTTGGGTCCCTGCCACCCACATGGGAGGCCTGGATGGGGATCCTGGGGCCAGGCTGTTGTAGGCATTTGGGTGCCTCTCTGTGTCTTTCTCACATTGTTTTGTGGGGGTAGGGGCAGGACGTAGCGATGATGAATTGTGCACGTCAGGTGCAGGAAGTTGACTGAAAACCCAACATGGTGAGGCTGCTCTGGGACTACTGCACTTCTCTGAACTCCCCCTAGCGTCTGAGTCTTGTGGTCTGACTCTGCTCTGGGCACGCTTTCCACGGCTTCTATCTTGATACGGAAAAATAACAGTGCAAGACTAAAGGCGAAAAGAGGATAGTGGGAGGGGTCGCCAAGGGTGTGAAAGAGGTCGGCTGCGAGCCAGCACCGGGAACAGGGCTGTCGCTGGAAGGAGGTTCCAGCCTGGGGAGTGACGCCCACCGGTGGTGTCGGGGGCGGGCCCCCACATAAGCCTGTGTCTCCCTATCTTGCAGGTGGCACCGGCGAGCGGGAGAAGGTGCCGGCCAACCCCGAGGCGCTGCTGCTCATGGCCAGCTCGCAGCGGGACATGGAGGACTGGGTGCAGGCCATCCGCCGGGTCATCTGGGCCCCGCTGGGCGGAGGTACTGCCCGTAGCTCGCGTGCCCACCCTCTAGCACCCTTGTCTCCAGGTAATCACGGCCCTGCCCCCTGAGCCCACAGGGGCCCTGTGCCCTCCGGCCACCCCCCTGGGGCTGCACGGAGCTCACCCAGCCAGGAAGTCAGATCAGCTTCTCAGAAACCGGCCATCCTGCGGCCTGGAGGGGCGGGGCTCCTGCTTCCCTCCCCTAGCCCAGCCGCGGGGCAGCCACATGGAGACTCCGTCTGCCCTCCAAACCCCCTCCCTGTGCCTGACCGGAACTCAGTGGTTGCCGCTGACTGGCTGCTTCCTTGATCCAGAATCACGCGTTGGGTGCCTGGCACGTGCTGGGTTCTGACCCAGGCCCCCCAAACTCAGCAAGTCGTGCCTTTACTTCCCCTTACCTCCACTGTCTGTGGGAGGGGAGGGCAGGTGAGCTGGAGTGGGGTGATGGGGGTGACGGGTCTTGTGCCGTGCAGTGGTGAGAAATGCAGTGAGGCAGAGAGAGGCAGAGGAGGGGTGTGGATAGAGGGGGCAGCCCAGGGGAGAGTGCTCCAGCTGTGGGCCTGGCAGGTGCAAAGGTCCTGAGGTAGGAGCGTGCTGTGGGAACCCAGGTGCATCAGGAAGGCCTGAGGGAGTGGGGGGGCCCTGAGCTGCAAGAGGCCCTGGTGGGGGATTTCGGAGTCTCCTCTAGAGGCAGTGGGGTGCCAGGAAGGGCCCCCAGCAGCACACGTGCAGGGCCTGGCTTGGCTTGTCAAAGAGCTGCCCCGTGAAAAGTGCACTGTGGGCCACATGAGCCAGGACGCTCAGGGCACCAGGGGCCATGGGGCCTCCCTCTGCTGGCGTGGGAGTGGAGGAGACGAGCTATGGGGGTGCAGCTGCCAGGTTGTGCCCACAGGATGAACACAGGTGCGGGAGCCAGGAGGGGCAGCCCCCAGCTGTGTGCCGTCTTGGCAGGGTGGTGTGCGTGTACAGACTTTGCCTGATGGGATCATTCTGCTAAGGGGCGAGGCGGGGTGGGGGGCAGGGGGCAGAGGCCAGACCACCAGCTCCCTTGCTGAACGGTGAGAGTGGAAGCCATCAGGCTGGCTGGGCCCCAAGCGCGTGGTCCAGGCAGGGACAGACCCTTTCACCTTTGACAGAGCCCCTTCTTTCGTCTGCTCCGCACCTGCCCAGCTGTCCTCTCCTGTCCCTGGCTGTGGCTACCTGGCCACCTTGCATCCAAGAGAGAAGGGTTACTACAATGTGGCAAGTCCTATTAACCACGGCACCCATAGGTGGCATCCCACTCTTGGCCGCAACTTCCCTGGCCCGGACGACAGCAGCAAACTTGACTTCCAGCCCGGATGTAATGGCCGGGTAAGAGGCTGCTGCAGCCTCCCGGTCTGTGGCAGGGTTGTTGGGTGAGACCCAGCGGAACAGGAGACGGCCTGGGAGCACACCCCACACAACCAGACTTGGATTTGTCACAGGTGGCCCCTGGGAGCGCCATATGATCATGACCCTGGGTTCCTAAAGGGTTCTGGAGGAAGTTCCAGAAGCATCGGTATTTTAGGAGAAGAGCTGGAATGTGCACCTGCTGCTTAAGAGGTAGATGAAGAGTCAAAGGATGTGCCACAGGTGGAGAAGATGTGGGTGTGTTGTAAAAAACCACGCGTGGATTTCAGACACTGTGTGCAACAAAATAAACCTGTTAACTCCATGTTGCCATGAACACGTGGAAGTTCTCCTCGTATGTCTCACACATCTGACACCCAAATGACTTCTCCCCGAACTCCTGCAGACCAGTGAGGCCAAGACAGGCCAGCGGGCAAGAGACTTGAACAGGCACTTCGCAAAGGAAGCAACAGGGCCGCCTTGTTTGTGGTGGCCTGACACCACCCCAGAGACAGTGCCATGCCTGAAAAACTGCGAGCCATTCTTTTTTTAAAGATTTGAAAGAGTTTCAGAGGAAGAGGGAGAGACAGAGAGAGAGAGAGACACAGAGAGCTTCTATCCCCAGATGGCCACAACGGCCAGGAGCCAGGAGCTTCTTCCAGGTCTCCCCACACAGGGAGCAGGGGCCCAAGGCCTTGGGCCATCTCCCACTGCTTTTCCCAGGCACGAGCAGGGAGCTGGATCGGAAGTGGAGCAGCTGGCATACGGGATGCCAACATTGTGGACTGTGGCTTCACCCGCTAAGCCGCAGCGCGGGCCCCCGTGATCCATTCTTAGAGCGGGAAATTCGACAGCCATGAGAAGGCATCAAGTTCAGCTTCCCCCAACAAGTGTGAAGTGTTAAAACGGTGTGCGAGAGAAGAAGCCCGACAGAAAAATCGCCTGCTTTGTGATTCCCTGGCTGTAAAGTTGAGGCATAGGGCGGAAGTAAACTCCTATTGTTTATGGCTAGGTAGGCAGCAGAAATGTAAAGAAATGCAGAGAGATGAATGCCACAGCAGTCAGGATAGCAGGGGGCGTGGGGGAGGGCCATGAGGCTCTGGAATGTTCTCTGGCTCGGCTTGGGTCACGGCTCCGCAGGCATGCATTTTGCGGTAACGTGTAGACCTGCACGTTTCTACCTAGAGTGAGTTCCTGGGGCGTGCGTGTTTCACCAGGGCGGAGATCAGAAATCGCACAGCACAGATCCAGGAAAGTTTGCATCCGAGAGGCGGCGTGATTTGCCTCTGGGAGCAGAGCAGCGTGGGTGTTCTGACCCCAGAGTGGCCCCGCCGGGGGCAGCCCCGAACAGGGCGCGCTCACTGGGTGCTGCTTGCGCCAAGCCGGCCTGGCTGTCCGGCCCACACATGCTCGCTCGCTCGCTCGCTCTCCCTCTATCTCTGTTCAGAATGGGGACCTTCAGCAGGCTCCCACGTGTGCCCAGACCTGCCCCTGCCCTAGTCCACGCCCTGGCCTTTAACCCCCTTCTCTGCGTGCCGTGTGGGTGTGAACCAGGAACTGTCCCCTAGGGCGCATCTCTCCAGTCTCCCACGGCTCCCGAGGAAACGCAGAAATCCCAGAGGGAGCCCCATCCGACATGCCCGGGCAGGCAGGCAGCCCTCGCTGGTGGGGGCGGGGGCTCCCACAGCCCCTGAAGCTTTCCTGGCAAAGCAGCCGCGGTCCCTGGAGAGGAGGCTTAGCGGATCGGTCCCCCCACCCCACCCCACCCCCACCAAGAGCCCAGCCTCTGGGGCATGTCGCTTCTGGCAATGACAGCCTCCCGCTACGGCCTACATACCCAGAGATGGCGGCAGGCCAGTAGTCCGGAGTGCCCGTCTGCCCTTCCCTCGGACTGTGTTCTGAGGGCTGGGGAGGTGGCAGGGGGCCACACAGACCAGGGCCCTGGCCTTGCAGAGTCCACGTTCAAGTAGAGGAGGCGGTGGCCCAGGAGCTGGGAAAAGCCACCTGGGCCAGATGACGGCAAGCACGTGGGAGATGGGTGTGTGTGTGTGTGGCATAGGGACAGTTTGGTGGCTTCAGAAAGCAAATGACGGTGCAGGCAGAGGCCGGGGGTGCCCCTGCACGAGGGCAGAGGGGGTGAGGGGGCGAGGGGCAAGGACCTGTTAGCATGGAGGCGACGCTTTGCACAGAGAAGTGGCTGCGCCTGGCCCCGACTCTTTGCAGGGTCCAGTGGCTGCTGTGCTGAGCGGATGGAGGCGAGGGGCCAGCTAGCAGCTCCTCAGCCAGCCATGCAGGAGAGAGGCGAAGGCAGTGGCCCAGGGTGCAGGTGTCCGTCTCCTTGGGAACAGCTGCAGGGTGAAGATACTTTGAAAACTGTGTCGGCAGTGAACATGTGAAGATGTTTTCCTTATTGCCACTCTCCAAACAATGGAGTGTAGAACTGTTTCTGCAGCATTTATGTTGCCTTAGATATTCTAAGGGATTGGGAGATGATTCAAAGTATATGGGAAAATGTGCATTGTTAAAGACTTATTTTTATTTGAAAGTCAGATTTACATACACAGAGATCTTCCATCTGTTGGTTCACTCCCCAATTGGCCTCAATGGCTGGAGCTGTGCCAATCTGAAGCCAACAGCTTATTCCAGGTCTCCTACGCAGGTGCAGGGTCCCAAGGACTTGGGCCATCTTCTACTGCTTTCCCAGGCTATGGCAGAGAGTGGGATCGGAAGTGGAGCAGCCAGGTCTTGAACCGGTGCCCATATGGGATGCTGGCACTGGAGGCGGCAGTTTTACCTGCTATGCCATAGTGCTGGCCCCAGAATATGCATAGTTCAAAGGCAGATAATACACTATTTTCATAGAAAGGACTGAGCATTCTTGAATTTTGATAGCCCAAGGGTCCTGGAACCCCTCCCCTGTGGATACAAGGGGATGACTGTCATTGAATTCTTTTTGCTTTTCAAAGATTTATTTGGTTATTTGAAAATCAGAGTTACATAGAGGCGGGGGGAGAGAGAGAGAGAGAGATCTTCCATTCTCTGGTTCACTCCCCAGATGGCTACCGAGGCCAGGGCTGGGCCAAGCCAAAGTCAGGAGCCAGGAGCTTCATCCGGGTCTCCCACGTGAGTGAAGGTGCCCAGACACTTGGGCTGTCCTCCGCTACTTTTCGCTGGCCATTAGCAGGGAGCTGGATTGGAAGTGGAGCAGCTGGGACTCGATGCCAGGGTAGCAGGAGACGGCTTTACCTGCTGTGCCACAACACCACTCCCGAATTCTTGATCTATTTAGGAAGTAGAACCAGTGGTATTCCCCCGCTGGGATAGGTGAAAGGGGTAAGATGGTAAATGAGAGACGTCAGGTAGATGGGCACTTGGTTTGAGATACCTGGGGGATGCTTCACTTTACACATCAAGTGGGCAGTGAGCTGTCTTAGTCCAGAGGTCAGGAAAGACGACCGAGCTGGAGAGAGGTCCTCGGCACCTAGAAGGGGCTTCGAGCCACGAGGCTGGGTGAGCACCACCGAGCAAGTGTAGGGCTAAGCCCTGTGTGCCCCCAAGAAGCCAGGGACCAGGGCTGGCACTGTGGTGCAGCAGGTTAAGCCATCACTTGGGGGCGCCCAGTTCAAGTCTCCACTCCTCTGCTTCTGACCCCGCTTCCTGCTCATGGCCCTGAGA